ATCGCCCTTTCGTTAAAATTGTGGTTCTTTCATTTTAAATAAGAATTTTTTAAATGATATCTTTTTTTGAACTTCCAGTTTAAGTTCAGGTTTGTTATGTACGTAAATTTTGTGTCACGTAGGTTTGATGTACAGGTGACTTCATTGCCCATGTGATAAGCGTAGCACCCGACAGGTTTCTTTTCTTTTTTTATTTTGAGACAGAGTCTTGGATTGTCGCCCAGGCTGTAGTACAGTAGTGCAATCTCAGCTCACTGCAATCTACGCCTCATGGGTTCAAGCATTCTCCTGCCTCAGCCTCCCAAGTAGCTGGGACTAAAGGCATGCGCCACCACACCTAGCTAATTTTTTTTTTTTTTGTATTTTTAGTAGAGATGTGGTTTCACCATGCTGGCCACCATGGTCTTGATCTCCTGACCTCATGATCTACCCACTTCAGCCTCCCAAGGTACTGGGATTACAAGTGTGAGCCACCGTGCCCAGCAGCACCCAACAGGTTCTGATTCTCCCCTTTCTTCCACACTCTACTCTCTGGTTGTCCCACTATATACCATCCCCTTCTTTGTGTCCATGTGTTCTCAATGTTTAGCTCCCACTTATTAGTGAAAGCATGCAGTAATAGGAGTTTTTAAAATTCATTTCCATCAAGAACAGGAAATAAATATTCCAGATTCCTATAAATATTTAAAATGTAAATTCTAGAAATCTCCAAAAAAGACTTGGGTTAGGAAGAGCTATGATTGGCAGTTACTTCATGTCTGTCTCATCCATTAGAAACAGACCTGAGATAAGCTCTGCTATGAATCCTAACAATAGGATAGCTTTGTTAAAAAATAACCCCCAATGGCCAGACACAGTGGCTCATCCCTGTAATCCCAGTACTTTGGGAGGCAGAGGTAGGCGGATCACAAGGTCAGGAGTTCAAGACCTGGCCAACATGGTGAAAACCTGTCTCTACTAAACATATAAAAATTAGCCAAGCATAGTGTCGTGTGCCTGTAATCCCAGTTACTCACGTGGCTGAGACAGGAGAATTGCTTGAACCTGGGAGGTAGAGGTTGCAGTGAGCTGAGATCGCACTACTGCACTCCAGCCTGAATTATAGAGCAAGACTCCATTTGAAAAAAAAAAAAAAAGACAAACTCAAAATCACATATTTATGGATAAATGATGTCCAACCAAGGGTTAGGTATTACGTAGGCCCAGTTTCTAGAGGATCTGCTTCTTTGATATTGAGAACTCTATTTACCCAATATCTATTATAAAATTATGCATTTATGCAATTATGTATAAAGTCGTGCATTCTTTTTTAAAAGGGGTGGGAGCTGTGTCAGTGTTTCCGGGTTGAAGAGTGGTTTACATAAGCCCTTTGGTTAGGTTGCACACAAGGAGGCTTTACAAGATCTAATCTTTTCTAAACCTGTTACGCTCTTCGGTTCAGCAGAGATTCCTAATTGTAGCTATTAGTTCCCCTTTTTTGTGGTCTGTTCTGTCAATAGACTATTGAGTGTTCAGTAAACTAAGCCCAACCAGCAGCCAACACACTGAGGCAGACGTTAAATCATAGCTTGGCTGCCCTTATTCCTTACTGGTATCTGGGAAATGGCTTTAAGCACAGGCGCGGGATTTAACATGATGCACATTTGTGTCATTCTCAAATTTCCATCCTGTACAATCAGGTATGTGAGGGTTTTTTTTTTTTTTCTAGGCAACAGGTGTGTTCTTGGAATAAAGTTCAACGCCCACTTCTGGCTGATGTGAGAGCAACAGCTGCAGGCTTAAGACCAATGACACATGGTTCTGTAAACGAGAGAAAAAGCAAACGGTATGTTCAAAGTGCTGAAGTCATGGGCAGATGGACTCTCACTGCCTGCACTTCTCTTTGTGCTGCAGAGCTGGAGTCCAAACCTTCAGATGACACGTGTTTCTTTCTTTCTCTCTTTCTTATTGCCTTTCTTCCTTCCTCTTTTATTCTTTTCTTTCCTTTCCTCTATTTTTTAAAAACTAGTGAGAACATAAATTTCCTTAAGCATTACATATTCGTTACTGAGAATATTCCTTCATCTGACTCATCCTGTTTACAGGCTGATGAACGAGGAGGTGAAAAACTTAATATGAATCGAGTTACATTTTATAACTCACTTCATTCTAAAAACAACTCAAAGGAACTGTTTACTATGCAATTTGAAGACAGCATTTAAATCTTAAATCTTTTTTAAAAGTGCAAAGCTAAATATACTTATTTACAGGTCTCATTATTCTCTTGTAAAAAGCTTCTATCTAGAATTTTTGAGGTACTCCTAATGAGTTATAATGTACTCTGCACCTCAGAAGCCTAATGTCGACATTAATTAATAGTAACCATAATGATATACTAATCACTGTGATCGTGTTCGAGAGTGAAAATGTCTGTCAGTCACTCGAGCATCTCTTTCAGGGTACTGCGGACAATACTCCTCTGTATGTGTTAGCTTTCAGGAGTTATCATGCCTCAGAATATAAGAGGCTCAGCCACTCTTTTGCCGCATCCGAGGTTTCCTGTAAACAAGAACACTGAGGGAAAGAACAGACTAGAGTAGTAGCAATAGAGCTGTGCGACACGTTTGATGCAGACGCGTCTTAGTGCACAGGCTTTTCCAGAACTCATATACATCAAGGCTTCTCTCTTTCACCAACAGGAACTTCAACAAAAATGGAGAAGAATCTTGGCTTTTCTTAGACGTGACAAACAAATACATTGCAATATGATGATAAGTACCTGTTTAATGACACTCTTGGAGACTGGCCTAACTGGAGTCCCCGGACCCCCTGGGAGACGGTGTGGGGTGTTGCATACAATGTCTCATTGGGAGGGGAGCAAAGAGAGAATCCCTTTCTACTATTTTTTTAAAGCCCCAAACCACAACTTCAGTCAAGAACCAGATTTTCTGTGAATCTATACTGAAAATGGTTTTGACAGGCTTGTCTCATTGCTGAGAAAACTATAGGTAGGTGGATTTGGAATTCAATCCTTAGTGAGAAACAAAGGCCAAAGAAAAGGAAGAACCCAGTGATACATTTCTTTTTATGTTTTTAATTGGTTTGGCTATCGCATTCGATTTTCACTAAATGCATGCAAACAATGACTAACCTCGAACATGATGCTAATATTTTTTAAAACTGGCAAGCAAGCTTAGGCATCTTTAAAATTCTCTTCCAATCCAGAGATGATCAACGTCTGTGTATTTGCTTTTCCTCAGGCTGTACTTTGTTCAAAATTATATTAAGATGTACATGACACAAAATGTACCACCTTAACCATTTTTAGTGTCCAGCTCAGTATACTCACACCGTCGTGTAGCCTCAGGAGGTTTTCATCTTTGAAAACTGAAACTCTGTACTCATTGAACAATTTCCTATTCTCTCCTCCCCGCTGCCTCTGGCAAACACCATTCTGCTTTGTCTCCATGAATTTGACCACCCTAGGTACTGCACATACATGGAATAATAGAGCATTTGTCTTTTTTGTGTCTGGCTTATTTCACTTAGCATAATATTCTCAAGGTTCATCCACCCTACAGTATGTAGCAGCATTTCCTTCCTTTTCAAGGCTGACTAATATTCCATTGAATGTACAGACCACATTTAGTGTATCTGTCAATGCACACTTGGGTTGCTTCCACCTCGTGGCTATTGTAAATAATGCTGTTATGAACATGGGTGTCTCTTGGAGATGCTGCTTTCAAATTTGCGGGATATATATGTAGAAGTGAAATTGTTGTATCATATGGTAGTTCCATATTTTTTTTTTTTGAGAAGTCAACATACTATTTTCCACAGTGTCTGCACCATTTTACATTCCCACCAACCGTACATAGAGGCTCCAGTTTCTCCACATCCTCACCTTGTTAATTTCTGTTCTTCAAATAGCAGCCATCCCAACGGATGTAAGGTGATATCCTCAGGCCACATTTTACAGAAAGAAGACAGGTGGCTGCTGAGTGAGTCAGCTCAGCCAGGGGAGCTTTTTTTTTTTTGAGACGGAGTTTCGCTCTTGTTACCTAGGCTGGAGTGCAATGGCGCGATCTCGGCTCACCGCAATTTCCACCTCCTGGGTTCAGGCAATTCTCCTTCCTCAGCCTCCCGAGCAGCTGGGATTACAGGCACGCACCACCGTGCCCAGCTAATTTTTTGTAATTTTAGTAGAGACGGGGTTTCACCATGTTGACCAAGATGGTCTCGATCTGTTGACCTTGTGATCCACCCGCCTCGGCCTCCCAAAGTGCTGGGATTACAGGCTTGAGCCACCGCGCCCGGCCCACAGGGGAGCTTTTTTAAAGCATAAATCAAATTGTTCCGAGTCCTCTGCCCAGTGCCCCCAGGTGGCTTCCCATCACAGTGGGAAGGAAAGCCAAGTCCCTCACCGTCACTAGAAGTGCATATTGTACTCTGAGCCCTTGTTACCCCACTTCCTGATCTTCTCCCAGGCCATCTGTTCTGCTGAGACCACACCTTGCTTGCTCTGAGCCTTCGCTCTTGCTGTTCCTCTGCCTGGAACTCTCTTCCCAACATCACTCCACAGCTCACTCCCTCTCTCTATCAGATCTCTGCTCAGTATCATCTCAGACACACCTTCCTATCTTAAGCAACACCCCTGCTCCCAGCATTCTGTACAACCCTGCTTTCTTATTCTTTTGTCGTAACTTAACACTACTTGAATTTGTTTATGTATTTGTAGATATCATCTGTTTCCCAGGCTAAAGTGGAAGTTCTTTGAGAGCAGGACATGGCCTGTCTTGTTCATCCCGATGCTCCCAGCTTCCAGAACAGTGCCACAACACTCTATCTGTATGCGTTGCAGGAACGATTAAATGAATAAATGGCGATGAATGTTTTAGCCACTACCTGCCTAGCCAGAGTAAAAAAAAGTAAAGAGAGATCTCATCAGGTCATTAGAGTCATCAGAGGCTGGGCTGGTAAGTTTAAACTCTCCACTGAGAACAGGGGAGAAAAGTACTTACGTGGGTCTCCACGTCTCCAGCAAGCATCCTACTGTTCTTTAAAAACTCAGCCACCATACTGTTCATCAGCTTGTCAAAGGCTTCCACGGAGGGTGCCACACCTTGGGGAAAGAAGCATTTTGTTATTCCCTGGTAGTTGAATGAAAATCTGGGACTAGCCGGGCATGGTGGCTCACACCTGTAATCCCAGCACCTTGGGAGGCTGAGGCAGGAGATCGCCTGAGGTTAGGAGTTCAAGACCAGCCTGGACAACATGGTGAAACCCCATCTCTATTAAAAATAAAAAAATTAACCAGGCGTGGTGGTGGGCATCTGTAATTCCAGTGACTCAGGAGGCTGAGGTGGAGAAATTGCTTAAACTTGGGAGGTGAAGGTGATCTCGGGGAGCCAAGATTGAGCCAGTGTACTTAGCCCGAGTGACAGAGCGAGACTCCATCTAAAAAAAATAAAATAAAATAAAACCTGGGACTGTCTTGCCATAGGCAATATGGAAGTTTAATATCATCAATGTCATTCTCACTAATTCATTTGCTAAGTCATTCCTTCATTCAATCAATGTTTTTGTTTTTGTGGGTTTTATGAGACAGGGTCTCACTCTGTCATGAGTGCAGTGGCGTGATCTCAGCTCACTGCAACCTCTGCCTTCAGGATTCAAGTGATTTTTCAGCCTCAGCCTCCCAAGTAGCTGAAACCATGGGTGCAGGCCACCACGCCCAGCTAATTTTTGTGTTTTTTGTAGAGATGGGATCCCACCATGTTGGTCAGGCTGGTTTCAAACTCCTGGCCTCAAGTGATTGGCCCCCCTTGGCCTCCCAAAGTGCTGGGATTACAGGCATGAGCCACCATGCCCGGCTCTCAATCAATGTTTATGAAACATTTCTCAACAGCTCAGGAAAACACTGTTTTCCTATTTTTCATCCTCCTGAATCAAGACACTGTGTAATTTCATTTCATTCCCTCCTAACCCAGGGAGTTAGGTGGCACCATCACAATGTCATAGATGAGGAAATGGCATTGTAAGCATAGCGTGTGACTGGGCCAGAGTTACAGCCCAAACAAAAGGCAGATCCAAAACCTGAACCCAGTCGATTCATCCAAAGCCAGTGGCCCTTCTTCCACAGCCACCTGCTCAGGTGCGATCATGACCTTACGAACAGTTACCAAGATTACCCAGGACAATCAGAAGGTAATAATGAACTCCAGCCAAGTACGAAAAGAAAGCTGATTTCACTCACTCTCTTCCTTCTTTACTCCCCAGGGCGCAGGGGACGACCACAGTGGAAGCGAAATCAACTGCGGAGCCCATACCTGTTGGGTTCAGAGCTGCCAAGTTACTGACAAAGCTCAAGTGACAACTGCCCGACAGGTGTGTTCTGCATTTCCTTCCCTGCTTTGTAATTAACAGAAAACAATCTAAGTCCCTGATTTCATGTCCCGAGTATGGAGAAGTACAATACTGAGAAACTGAGCACTAACGCTATGAAAACTCTAACCAAAACCTAAGATTCCTTTTCTCATGTTGTACAAACATATCATCCATGCTCACAAAACTATTAGGATAGCGTCTTTCTTTTTCTCTTTTTCCCAATTACCCATTTCCACAGGCCCAAAGGGTGATGGAAACAAGTTATTTACAGCTCTCTGCAGCTGTGTTCTAACTTCTGAGCAGGACATTGAAGCTGAGTTATCTTAAAGTTCACAGCACAGTATGTAACAACTTCTGAAACACAAAAAGAACACAAGCCCAAAGGTTCCTTATGGATCCGTTTGGAAACAGATAAACCTGTTTGTTGCAATGGAAGAGGCTGGAGGGGGGTCTCTATTGAGTATTTAAAGTGGGAGAAAGTTTCAGAAATGTGACAGAGTCCTCTACATAGCAGAGGGTACAATGATTAAAGGGAATATTTTCCAGTTTCCTTTCATCATTCAGCTCTGCTCACACCTCCTGTGGGCAGACCTGTCCTTCTCTCCAAACTGCATCCTTTGAGCATCCTTTAATCAAAGAATCTGGGGCCCTGAATAATAATGCATTGAGACCAAAGATCCTGGAGGATTAGGACTGTGTGTAACTCATCTTCAATTTTCCTGCACCTACCACAGTGTTTGTCGCATTGTAAAAAGGTAAAATATTTCTTCAACTGTTGAGCTGAGCTTACCTGATTATCATCAGAGAAAAACAAAAAATACTCACCTTCTAAAGCACGTCGTAATACCAGTATCATAACAGAGTGGTCCTTTGATCTATGCCTGTTATGTATTTGTAAGGGATTATGTTCCTTCTAAAAGTTTCTCTTTTTTTTTTTTTGAGATGGAGTCTCGCTCTGTAGCTCTGTGGCGTGATCTTGGCTCACAGCAACCTCCGCTTCCCATGTCCCGGTTCAAGCAATTCTCCTACCTCAGCCTCCCAAGTAGTTGGAATTACAGGCACGAGCCACAATGCCTAGCTAATTTTTTTTTTTTTTTTGTATTTTTTAGTAGAGACAGGGTTTCACCATGTTGGCCAGTCTGGTCTTGAACACCTGACCTCATGATCCACCCGCATCGGCCTCCCAAAGTGCTGGGATTACAGTCGTGAGCCATTGCACCCGGCCTAAAAGTTTCTTTTAAAGTAAAAAAAAACGAGCTTTGGCTATAACATCATCATAATGATACTTGCGTGTAAGACAGAGGTTGTTCTGCAGATGTGTTAAAAATAGAAAATTGTCAAAACTCACTAATTAAAAAGAAATGGAAACGATGTCTTTTAGGATTAGTGAAATGTGTTAAGGATGTATATCATTCAGACATTTTACTAACTATCCTACTTCATTTCAAGTAGGATAGTAAATTGCAGGCTAAGTTGTTTTAAAAGAGCTTTGTTTTAATAACTGGTTTGGAATAATTCGTTATACGAGAAAATATTTTTTTAAACAGTTAAACAATTTAAATAACTTAATTATATACCCTCTAATTCTACTTGGTCAATTAATTTTCCAACTTCGGTCTAGTACCTCTTTGAATGAATGAGGTTCCAATTATGGAATTTTTTTTTCTTTACTCAGTAATACTACACAATCTCCTGGTAGTTGGATTTTAGCTTTGTTTTGTGTAGTCAGGGGCTTCTTGTTTGTGGTCAGTAATTTGGAGAAATGCCTTTAATCACCTGATGCCAAAAAGTTACTGGGGGGAGGATGAAACTATTTTCTTACAAATGAGGTTTATTGAATCGCATATACCAACTGTATACAGTTAACAAAAAGAGGCTTAAAATGAAATCATAGATGTGTCTCAGTTGGTGCGGAAAAAACTTACAGGCTCCTGGCAGCCTTCCTTTAAACAACACCCCCTTTCAATTCATTCAAAGCATTTTCATTTTCATTATGTTCAGGGGGGAAATAAACCAGCCAGCACATTTGTGCTCACACAGTAATTTTTGTCCCATGGCATGTAATACAGGCACAGGTCCAAATTCTCGCCTGAAATTCTAGAAGCACCAATGTAGGTCTTTCCTGGCGAAAGCTTTTTCTGAAGTTCCTTCTTCCCCACGGCTTTTTCTCAGCCCAAAAAAGCCTGACAGGATTCAATGTGGGTCAGGTAAGGGGGAAGTACCCATGTGACAAGAACAGAGTTGCTACATTAAATGCAGATTGCCTGGTTACATCTGAATTTCAGATAAGCAATGAATAAATGTTTGCTGTAAGTCCATACCAGGCAGTATAGCTCATGCAGTATTTGGGACACGCTTATACCAAAAAAAAAAAGAAAAAAAGTATTCTTTTCTGAAACTCAAATTTCATTGGTTGGTCATTTATTTTTCTTAAATAAATTATTAAGTAAATTATTTGTACTTTTTATTTGTCCCTTAGTCAAGAAGAAATTGGAAAAAATATATTAGATTTTTTGGAGAGTTTGCCAAATGTGGTACCCTTTTTGAAAAAGTAGCTAACTTTTTATTTTTGATCATATAATTAAAAAAATATTTTGAAGTATGGTATTAGCACATAGTTTTAAAAGCATATTTGGTTAGCAATAGGCAAAGGTAAAACACCGTGACTTAGTTATGTTACATCAAAGTCGTATTTGCCTTCACATAAGACTAGCTTCCTTCAAAACTGCAGTTCCTAAATTTAATGATTTGTTCTCGTTAAAATCAAAACCTGGTTACACGCAGTGGCTCACGCCTATAATCCCAGCACTTTGGGAGGCCAAGGAGGGCAGATCACAAGGTCAGGATTTTGAGACCAGCCTGGCCCTCCTGGTGAAATCCCAACTCTACTAAAAATACAAAAATTAGCTGGACACGGTGGCACGCACTTGTAGTCCCAGCTACTCAGGAGGCTGAGGCAGGAGAATCGCTTGAACCCAGGAGGCAGAGGTTGCAGTGAGCCAAGATCGTGCCACTGCACTCCAGCCTGGGTGACAGAGCGAGACTCCATCTCAAAAAAACAAAGAAAAAAAAATTAAAATATACATTTTACAATTTATATTCTAATCGAGAACACTAGTTTCTTTTTTGGTAATTACATAGGTAATATACTTGGTCATTGAGTGTGGGACAGCAGTATGAACACCAAACGAAAGAATGATGACATCTGACACATGGAATATGCTTGTAAGAGGCACTGGGGCTCACACCTGTAATCCCAGCACTCTGGGAGGCCTAGGCGGGGAGATGGCTTGAGCCTGGGAGTCTGAGGTAACTGTGAGCTATGACTGCGCCACTGCACTCCAGCCTGGGTAACAGAGTGAGACCCTGTCTCTAAAAGGCAAAGCTACTGATAATTTCTGTGGATTGTGGGTTGAAAGATTTTCGTCCTTTCTCTTTTTCGGGGATTGTCTGCCTCTGGTTAACGTCATGGTCACATACAATGGAAGGAGTGGGGAAGCTGAAGGATAATAGAAATGTTTCTTGAGAATGAAATGATGGAAACAAAATAAAGTGACCCACAAGAAGACCCGGAATGACAACAGTTTGTGGCCCTACCTCCATTGACACCGTTGACTTCCCTGCAGTCCCCAGGGGGCCTGTGAGACTCAGCAGACAGAGACTCCAGGCGGCTGACAGCTCGTTCCAGTCTTTCCACCAGTCCCTGCATGTCGGCCATTCTAGAAAAGCACAGGCACAAATGGAGGCTGTGTGAGCATCATGGAGGATGAGCAAATCAACACCATCAGACTCAGCAATAGCGATGAGGAAGACAGGATCACTGGGGGTGGCTTTATTTTTATTTTTTTAACCATGAAATTTTACTTATTATTGTTGTTTTTCAATTTCAGTAGTTTTTGGGGTGGGTGCAAATGGTTTTTGGTTACATGGATAAGTTCTTTTTTTTTTTTTTTTTTTCTTTTTGAGACAGAGTCTTGCTCTGTCACCCAGCCTGGAGAGCAGTGGCACAATCTTGGTTCACTGCAACCTCCGCCTCCCAGGTTCAAGCGATTCTCCTGCCTCAGCCTCCCAAGCAGCTGGGACTACAGGAGCATGCCACCATGCCTGGCTAATATTTTGTATTTTTGTAGAGAGGAGGTTTTACTGTGTTAACCTGGATCGTCTCCATCTCCTGACCTCGTGGTCCACCTGCCTCTGCCTCCCAAAGCGCTGGGATTACAGGCGTGAGCCACTGCGCCTGACCTGGATAAGTTCTTTAGTGGTGACTTCTGAGATTTTGGTGCACCCATCACCTGAGCAGTGTATACTGTACCCGGTGTGTGACCTCTTATCCCTCACCCCCCTCCCACCATTCCCCGAGTCCCCAAAGTCCATTATATCATTCTTATGCCTTTACGTCCTCGTAGCTTAGCTCCCACTTATAAGTGAGAACATAGGATCTTTGGTTTTCCATTCCTGAGTTACTTCACTTAGAATAATGGCCTCCAGCTCCATCCAAGTTGCTGCAAAAGACATTCTTTTGTTCCTTTCTTTGGCTGACTAATATTTCATAGTGCATCTATACCATATTTTCTTTATCTATTTGTTGATGGATGGGCACTTTGGTTCCACATCTTTGCTATTGTGAACTGCGCTGCTATAAACCTGTGTGCATGCATCTTTTATAGGATAGCTTCAATTCCCTAAAGAGTATTTCTACATAACAGGAAAATGTGTAAAATTCAAAAAACCTAAAACTTGGAACAAAAAAAATGAGCATTATATGGAGCTTATTTTCTATTCCATTAGTGATTATTACAACCCCAATTTGTTATACACAAATATTCACCCCCTTTACACTGCTCCCAAGTGCCTGGGTTATGTTCCTTGTTATATGACACGATCTATGTACAGCACTTACTTTTTAACAGCCCACAAAACATATACGGAAAAATTAATATTGCCCGCTCTTCTTCCGCTAATGGTGGGAACATATTTTCACTATTTCCAATAATTCCTTCTGTGAAAGTATGATTCTCCGGGGGACACTAAACCCACCGATAATCCTTGTTTACTCAGTTACATAAAACCAAACAGCCCAGCCTAGGAGAACCGAGTTTATGAACCTCAGCAGCATTTAGCAAAGAGGCCATCACCTCAAAGAGCTAATTGTTTTCCACCTATTACTGATTGGTTTGTTTTGGTGCTTCTGTTGCTGAATCATTTTAAATTATAATTTTTCCAAATGTAGGACTTTAAAATAGGACAAATGGTTATTTTCCTTTTGTAAGGTTGGCGGTTACGTTTAGGCAAAATTTAATCTTAGGTGGGGTGGTTTGTAGAGACGAGAATCTTCAGTTACCCAGTACTCTTGGCTGGGATAAATAGGGACTGAAGCTGACTAGAGGACCAGGGATAAAAATGGGGCAGGGTGACTGGGTGCTGTGGCTCACACCTGTAATCCCAGCACTTTGGAAGGCTGAGGCGAGTGGATCACAAGGTCAGGAGTTCAAGACCAGCCTGGCCAACATGGTGAAACCCTGTCTCTACTAAAAATACAAAAATTAGCTGGGCATGGTGGCGCGTGCCTGTAATCCCAGCTACTTGGGAGGCTAAGGCAGGAGAATTGCTTGAACCCAGGAGGTGGAGGTTGCAATGAGCCGAGATCGTGCCACTACATTCCAGCCTGGGTGACAGAGCAAGACTCTGTCTAGAAAAAAAAGGGGGTGAGCAGGGTATCCATCCTTTCTGCTTGCAAACAGACAATTAAATGAATATGCGTAGGGTGAGTACCCACTAAAATTATAAACTTATATTAAGATTATTGGTCCTAGAATTTATAACATTAAGGTAACCTCTGAGGAATGGAACCCAATCTAATTTGTTCAGTCTCCTGAGATCTAGCTTATAGCCACCATAACTCCAGCCATATTAACTTATGACTGCTTTTGGCAAAATCAGGCTGCCGCTCCCTAAGAGAAAACAATTTGCGTCCTCTTAATCAGTGCCTGGAGTTCTTTTCCCTCTTAAGACCCTCCCAAGCATCATTCTGAGCAAAAGAGGAACAGCATGCTTCTGAATCAGAGACACTGCTGCCCTGAAGCAGGGGTAAATACATTTAATTGCTCTCAGATGAATACATATTTTACGTTGCTGCTGGGGAACAGGCAATGCATTTCTCTTATGTGTTTTGTATTCTATCAGTTTTGAGCTTAAACACCGTGATGATGTGCCACTGCCAATTTTTAAAAGCAAGGTTATACTTATCAAAACTTGTATTGCTCTGTAATTCTGTCTGAATGTCAGATGGTCATCAGCTATGGAGGGCGGAGTTTACTGTCTATTTTGGAAAGTCATGTCTCCTGAAACTGGCAGCAGTTACTCTTGTAAAATATGGGGCAGTGTTCTCTGCACAGCTGAAATCAGCATCTAATCCTAAGGGGATTCAAAATTAGAAATTTCTCATCTATTCTTTTCCTTTTCACGTCAGAACTTGTGCTTCCATCGCAATTGAAGAAAAAAAAAAAAAGGAAAGAGAAGTGTAATTGAATCCTTTATGTAATCCTCTTGCAAGGGAACTGGGTATCCTGTAGGTGGATGAAGGCCATTTGAGAAATGATGAAAGCCCCTCAAATCTTTTAATAGTTGCCCATCTGTTCACAGTTATCTATGTTCTCTGTTACTCAACTTGCCAAATGTTACCACCATAGACCTAGCCTGTGATAGAAAAAAAAAAAAAAATGTTTGCTTTGTTAGCAAGCCCCTACCCCCAACACAACGGCACCAGCCACCTCCAGCAGCTCACAGATGAAGCTGTCTTGAGAAGGCCTGTTATATTTCACACTTAGGACTGCTGTCTCTGACTGCGGCTTAATCAGACTCCCTGACAAGACCCAAACTCGCACTATCTCGTAGTGCTCAGTATGTTGAAAGACAACAGGAGTCAGCCCACAAACTGCAGGGCTGGACAGATTGGTGTGGAATGCAGTCGAAAAGCGACTCAGACGTCACTCCATGCAAAATTACCATGAGCAAGAATGAGTCCTGCCACGGCCTCTAAAGCAGTTAAAATACAGCCCATGCAAGGAAGCTGGAGAGATGTCTCTGGGTTTTAAACTTTCAGAACAGTTTACAAGACAAACTGAAGGATAAATAAAAGAAAGACTATACCAGGAGACATGTTAGCATTCTCAAGGAGACCGATGGGGCCCAAGATGATCAGTATGATCATGTACTCTTCTCTCAAAACGCTCTCTGGCCGGGCGTGGTGGCTCACACCTGTAATACCAGCACTTTAGGAGGCTGAGGTGGGTGGATCACAAGGTCAGGAGTTCAAGACCAGCCTGGCCAAGATGGTCAAACCCATCTCTACTAAAACTACAAAAAAATTAGCTAGGCATGGTGGTGGGCGCCTGCAATCCCAGCTACTCAGGACGCTGAAGCAGAAGAATTGCTTGAACCCGGGAAGTGGAGGTTGCAGTGAGCGGAGATCACATCACTGCACTCCAGCCTGCGTGACAGAGTAAGATTTTGTCTCAAAAAAGAAAAGAAAAAGAAACAAAAAAAAAAATCTCTCTCCCTCTCTCTCTCCTCATATACCCTCAGCTGCCAGCCTGGTTCTCAAGAATGAGGAACAAGCAGAGCTGCAGATTCTCCACATTCTTCCCAGGCAGTCCCATCCGCCTTGGCATTCCAAAGTGGATTTAGCCAAGTTTTGACAAGGAGGTGGCAGCCAGGAATTAAGAATTAGGTTGAAGAAACGCATAGGGTAGTCAAAGCAAATACAGACAGCAAGGTCAGGGTAAGGAATGAGTCAGAGCCAGCAGGGCAGACCAAGGAGTTTGGATCAGGAGGCCAGCAGAGTAGGAGGATACGGCAAGATGGCAGGAAAGAAGACATTCTAAGAACCCAGTGAGGAACAAAGAGAAGCCAGATCCACAGCTGGAGAATGAAGAGACTGGGTCAGATGACACAGCTCAGACTTGGTCCTCCAGATCTTGTCCAGTCATCCTATTCAAGTAGAAGCCAACAGCAAGGAAAGGTCAGAGGATACACACAAACACCTGAACAGAGTGTGCGTGTGTGTGGGAAAGAAAGAGGAAGGACTATAACATTGCCCAACTTTCTTCTTTTCATGATCTGTTTTAGGGGCTGGGTGCAATGGCTCATGGCTATAATCCTAGCACTTTGGGAGATGGAGGCAGGTGGATCGCTGGAGCCCAAGAGTTCAAGATCAGCCTGGGCAACATGGCGAAACCCATCTCTACATAAAACTGAAAAATCAGCTGAGTGTGGTGGCACATGCCTATAGTCCCAGCTACTTAAGGGACTGAGGCAGGAGGATCTCTTGAGCCTGGGAGGTCGAGGCAGCCATATTTACCCCACTGCACTCCAGCCTGGGTCAAAATATGAGACCCTGTCTCAAGAAAAAAAAAAATCAGTTTTAAAAAACTATACTTGAGATTCATCTTAACTCCTTGTTTTAAATTTTTTTGTATTCTCATTCTTTTTTTTTTTTTTTTTTTTTGACAGAGTCTCGCTCTGTCGCCAGGCTGGAGTGCAGTGGCATGATCTCAGCTCACTGCAACCTCTGCCTCCTAGATTCAGGTGATTCTCCTGCCTCAGTCTTGCCAGTAGCTGGGACTACAGGTGTGCGCTGCCAAGCCCAGCTACTTTTTGTATTTTTAGTAGAGACTGGTTTTCACCATGTTGGCTAAGATGGTCTCGATCTCTTGACCTCGTGATCCACTTGCCTTGGCCTCCCAAAGTGCTGAGATTACAGGTATGAGCCAGCATGCCAGGCCTCATATTTTTGTATTCTCTTTTGAGTTTCATTATATAAAACGTGCACCCATCCTCCTTTTTGGTCTTTTTTTTTCCTTATCTGAATTTTCCCCTCACTTTTCATGGTTGTTTTTGTATTGAGACAGGGTCTCACTCTGTTTCTCAGGCTGGAGTGCAGTAGCACAATCACAGCTCACTGCAGCCTCCACTTCCTGGGCTCAAGGAATCCTCCCACCAAAGATCCACCCTAGTAGCTAGGATTACAGGGCAAGCCAGCACGTCTGGCTAATTTTTTAAATTTATTTTTTCCAGGGACAGGGTCTCCTTATGTTGCCCAAGCTGATCTTGAACTTTCGGGCTCAAGCAATTCTCCCATCTCAGTTTCCCACAGTACTGGAATTACAGGCATGTGCCATGGCAACCAGCCTACTTTTTATCAAAGCCAGACATACACAGAATTTAAATAATCAATAGTTCTACTACCTACATTCTTTCATTCTGTCATAAGTGCCAAACCTTTTCAATTATTTTAGCTGTTTCTTTAATAATTACCCCACCCTTTATCTCTGAATAACATGCTTCTCTCATCTCTGTGTCTTGTTCGGTTTTCTTCAGTTTGGGGCATTATTCATCAAGTTCCCAACAAAAATACAAGGGTTTACTTTTTTCTTGCCCAATCCCCACTACCACCTACACACATATTACATTTCCTCTTGTCCTCCCAATAGTGTTATATCACAATTTTTGTGTGATCAATAGCCAGTGTTAACACAACTATGACTATTTGCATCTGAGCCAGAAGGTAAACTAAGATTGTTTTCCATTTACTGTACTACCTGATTTCCAAAGTCATTCTTTCCAGCTTCTCGGTTTTCTATATGCTTAAACATTACTCATCTCTGAACCTCCTCCAGTTGTGTAAGACTCTGTTCGATAGGGCCAAACATATCTGGAATTCTATTAATGTTTTCTTCTCAGAGATACCTCTTCTGGAGATTTACTGGAACCTGCAGAATTGCTCCACTGCCCTGCTGCACATCTGTAATTTGGGATCTGCTGGCATCTTCATTATAAGGATATCCCCCCGCTCCTTCTTAACGTTCTGTCATCTGTTTCCTAGATTTGATATCTTCCTTTTTCTTGCTCTATTTAATTGTGAAGAGCATCTTCTTTTGTTAAAATAAAAAAAAAAGAAAAAAGGGGGGGTACATGAAAAGTCAATTTTTTGAAACCTCACAAGTTTGAAAATATATTCGTTTTGCTCTTATACTTGATGGGTAGTTTAGCTGAGTATAGGATTCCAGGCTGCAAATTTCCCTCCAGATTTTAAAGTTATTGCTCCATTGTCTTCTAGCTTCCTAGTTTGCTGTTGAGAAGTCCAAAGCCATTCTGAGTCTCCTTCCTTTGGATATAACCTGTGTTTCCTCTCTGGAGGAAGTTTTTGGAATCTTCTCTTGGCCCTTGGTATTCTGAACATTCATGAGGCTATGCTTTGTGGTAAATCTATATTTTTTTATAAATAATTTTCAAGAGATGGTAGAAAAGATAGAAAAATGGGCCTTGCAAATCATTTGTCTCCAGATGGATTTACAAATCAAATTTTCAAGTATGCTAAATAAGTTAGCATTCAAAATGTTTAAACAATTCAAACTTTTCTCACACCACACTTTTCCCAATATTTACAAATACTTCATACACTTCAGTATGAATATAGCTAAATAGTATTCTCTCATATACTGCCTTGGAATAATGGGTATTCTGGAATCAAGAAAATATTTTCCTCCCATAAATATGTACAGCCATTAGGTATCCATAATAATTAAAAATAAAAATTTTTTAAAGAAAATATTTTCCTAGGAGAAAAGATGGCTACCCTTGTTTAAAAATGTGTTAGCTATTTAGTCGTCTTATAAAATCCATCCTCAAAATACAGATACTCAGCCCCTAACACTGTCTGATTTTATACCCAATGTCATGTTATGCCCATATTACAATGACTATGCTTAAAGTCATGAGGGACATAACCACTTCCAGAAAAGGAGAGCTCCATACACTTTCAAACCTTATATACAGTCTCAATTATTTTGTGCTTCTTTAACTGGGATCTTTGTGCCTCTTTAACTAGAGGGTTCTTGGCTTTGGAATCAGATACAGCTGGAGTAGTACTCTGGTTCTCATTATCTGGGGGACTTTGGGAAAACAGCTTAATTTTGCTTTTCTTCAGTTACTACTTGTACATATAGTTGCTATGAAGTATAAAGGTAGAGAAAGTCGGCTGGGCGCAGTGGCTCATGACCATAATCCCAGCACTTTGGGAGGCTGAGGTGGGCAAATCACAAGGTCAGGAGTTCAAGACCAGCCTGACCAATATGGTGAAACCTTATCTCTGTGAGATGTACTACCCAATTAAAAACCGGCCTTGTGCTTTCTTTCCTGTCAGCACATGTACTAAAAATACAAAAATTAGCTGGGTGTGGTGGCACGTGCCTGTAGTCCCAGCTATTTGGGAGGCTGAGGCAGGGGAATCATTTGAACCCAGGAGGCAGAGGTTGCAGTGAGCCAAGATCACGCCATTGAACTTCAGCCTCAGTAACCAAGCAAGACTCTGCCTCAAAAAAAAAAAAAAAAAAAAAGGTAGAGAAAGTCTGAAACATGGTCAGTAATAAACATGTTAGCTGCACTATTAAGTCATTCCACCTCATTTTGCTGTCAATGGGAATAGTTTTACTTGAAACGTCGAGCAGTCGTCTAGAAGATCTGGTCAATGGAAGTGACTAATGGAAAGCTTCAGATCAGTATCCCCTTATTTTTGTCCCCGACATGTCACTTTCCTCTGTCCATGTACTTATTCCTCCAACATATTTAAAAGAAGTTTTCTCAAGTCTGTGTGTCTGTGCGGTTCCCATAAAATGAAAATCGTGGTATGTAATTTGTTTTTTTTCATCACATATCTTCCCTCTGAACATTTTTACAATGACTCTGCTTTTATACAGTCCTCTGCAAAGGATGGAGGCCCAATCTCTTCGGGGTCATTTTGGGAAAATGGCAGCACTCCTTCGTCCCTCACAGTTTCTCCACCCAATCCATCTTATGCTCTGTGGTGAAGGGTCTGTTAAGCCCTTGACTAGTTCAATCTACCCAGTTATAAAAGCAGCTTTCATAGATGCTTTGAACATTGACATTCCGTGGCACAATGTAAATGGTGATAAGCCTAGAATAACAGCCCGTCTGCCTGGATTACATATTTCGCATCTGTGAGACATACTGCCCAATTAAAAACCTGCACTGTGCTTTCCTCCTGTCAGCACATGTACAGCTCGCCTCCCAAGGAGACCTGCTACAAGCTTTTCATGGGCTGGGGCTGGTTCTCACTCTTCTGTGCATCTCCCACTGAGTCCAGCATGGTGCCTTCTACCTAGAGAATCTATAAATACTTTTTGATTGACTGATTAATTAGCTACCACTCACTGCCTTTTCCTTGCCTACCCACTCACTGGCACTATCCCAGCTCAGGCTGAAAGCCAGATTTTCATAGGAGAAATTTTCATTTAAAAGAAGATGCTAGATTAGTTTTTCCTACTTGGAACCACAGTGGCTTCCTCCCATGACTAGCACCCTTGCTCCCTCTAATGTAAACCTTTGGGTCTTCCATGGCTCCTTTCTCTTTAGAATTTCAAATTTTGCTAAAACTCCACATTGTCTAAAGGGTTTTGTAAATTCCTCACAAACAAGTAAGAGATAATGCTACTTTGATAACGTTTGCATGTTAATAAAAGAGCTGGGTCTTTCGGGTTTCCTGATTGCTAGCTCCGTGTTCTCCTCGCTAGGCCAAACATACAGAAATAATGGTAGTGAGAGTTTCTCTTCTAATTCTGCAAAGGAGACCCAGATCCAAGGGCTTCTGAAGATCATGAACCTGAGATTAAATAGGAAATAGACTTTTCTCAAAAGAAGACATTTACGCAGCCAAGAAACATATATAAAAAAAAATCTCAACATCACTGATCATCAGAGAAATGCAAATCAAACCACAATGACATACCATCTCAAACCAGTCAGAATGGTGATTATGAAAATCGAGTAACAATAGATGCTGGTGAGGATTTGGAGAAATAGGAACACTTTTATACTGTTGGTGGGAACATAAATTAGTTCAACCACTGTGGAAGCAGTATGGTGATTCCTCAAGGATCTAGAACCAGGAATACCATTCAACCCAGCAATCCATTACTGGATATTACCCAAAGGAATATAAGTCATTCTGCTATAAAGACACATGCACACATATGTATATTGTAGCACCATTTACAACAGCAAAGACATGGAACCAACCCAAATGCCCATCCATGATAGACTGGATAAAGAAAATGTGGTACATATATATCATGGAATACTATGCAGTCATAAAAAGGGATGGGATCATGTCCTTTGCAGGGACATGGATGAAGCTAGAGGACATCATCCTCAACAAACTAACACAGAGACAGAAAACAAAATACTGCGTGTTCTCACTCATAAGTGGGAGCTGAACATTAAGAACACAGGGACACAGAGAGGGGAACATCACACACCAGGGCCTGTTGGGGGATTGGGGGTGAGGGGAGGGAAGTTAGAGGACCAGTCAATAGGTGCAGCAAACCACCATGGCACACGTATACCTATGGAACAAACCTGCACATTCTGCATGTGTACCCCGTTTTTTAAGTTTTTTTTTTAGGAGAAATAAAGAAAAAAGGGAGTAGACTCGAACTTTCAAACTTTTCTCATAGTGAGGCTGGGCAACCAGTTTATATGTAACTCTCTGCAAAAAATAAAGCTACAATGGACTAATTTCTCTATAGGTCCACAAAAGTTTAAAGTATTTGGTAGGCTACCATCAAATCAGACTGTCCTAGATTGTTAAATTCTCTTTTTTTTTTTTTTGAGACAGTCTCACTCTGTCACCCAGGCTGGAGTAGAGTGGCACAATGTTGGCTCACTGCAACCTCCGCCTCCCAGGTTCAAGCGATTCTCCTGCCTCACCCCTCCAAGTAGCTGGGATTACAGGTGCCCACCACCAGGCCCAGATAATTTTTGTATTTTTGGTAGAGACAGGGTTTCTCCATGTTGGCCAAGGTGGTCTCGAACTCCTGACCTCAGGTCCGCCTGCCTCGGCCTCCCAAAGTGCTGAGATTACAGCCATGAGCCACTGCGCCTGGCCGACTGTTAAATTCTCTTTACCATAACCGTATCAGTGACTTTCTTTTCTTTCCCAGGAAACTACCAAGCACTGGGAGAAGTAACCCTGTGAATCACTATTATTGAATGAGTAATGGTATGTTTAGGAGAAACAAACCCTCACAGCATCCATCCATTCATTTATTAACTGGCTCACTGAATATGTTTGTTTCATTCATTTAATCAGTCAGTTCCCACTATCTGCTAGGCACAATGCTCACAGCTAGAAAACCAAGGCTGATTAAAAACATTTCCTGCCCTGCTATAGTGTGAGGGGGCTGAAAGCAAACCCTGCTCAGCCAAGCCAGGGAGCTGTTTCACTAAGAGACACATTCACGTTGCCAAGGTGCCCGCCTTCGCATCTTTTGCTTACTCTCCTACAGAGCATTTCTGGAGCTAACTTCTCCCCTAACAGCAAACAGAAAGCACCATTTCCCTTTCATTGCAAAGATGTTACAAGAGTTTCTGATTTTTGGGACAGTATAATCAGAATAGCTGAAACCAGAGTGTTATGTAAGAAAAAGAACACTCTCTGGCCGGGTGCAGTGGCTCACGTCTGTAATCCTGGCACTCTGGGAGGCCAAGGCGGGCAGATCATTTGCAATTAGGAGTTCAAGACCAGCCTGGCTAACATGGTGAAACCCCATTTCTACTAAAAATACAAAAAAATTAGCCAGGCACATTGACACACGCCAGTAATCCCAGCTACTCCAGAGGCTGAGGCAGGAGAATCACTTGAACCCGAAGGCGAGGTTGTAGTGAGCCGAGATCGTGCCATTGCACTCCAGCCTGGGCGACGAGAACAAAATTCTATCTCAAAATAAATAAATAAATATGAAAACACTAAATTTTTCATGAAACTGGAGAAAACACACATGAGATGCTGAGTTAGCCAACTGGCTCCTCTGGGGCCTCTAATCAGATCTCCCTGCAGGAGAAAAATGCTTCAGCTTGACCTTCAGAAGAATCTCACCCCAGCTCTCTAGCTACAACTCCCCAGGCTCCTGAGACACCCACACACCACAGGGACAATGCCCCAGGTCCCAAACACATCCTACTCTATCCCTCTTCTATGCCCTGATTCTGCTGCCTCCTGGGTTCTTCCTAGCATTGTTGCTTTCACTCCCCAAATCCCAGCTACTCCAAGAGATCCTGCAGTGTCTCAGAAATCAGAGTAATCTCCAGAGGCATTTACTCCCCGACACCTCCATCGAAACCACAAATACAATTTCCTCGCCTTCGCATCTGCCTCCTCCACTGAGGGTGGTACCACCCTCAGAACCACCCCTGATTGGCCTTGTATATAAACATTCCTCCTCTGAGTTGAAATTGGAAATACTGGCTGGGCACGGTGACTCATGCCTGTAATTCCAGCACTTTGGGACGCTGAGGCGGGCAGATCATGAGGTCAAGAGATTGATACCATCCTGGCCAACATAGTGAAACCCCATCTCTACTAAAAACACAAAAATTAGCTGGGTATGGTGGTGTGTACCTGTAGTCCCAGCTACTTGGGAGGGCGAGGCAGGAGAATCACTTGAACCTGGGATGTGGAGGTTGCAGTGAGTTGAGATCGCACCACTGCGCTCCAGCCTGGTGACAGAGCGAGATTGTCTAAAAAAAAAAAAAAAGAAATACTTACTCCCTGACATCTCCATCGAAATCACATGTACAATTACCTCACCACCCCATCTGCCCCCTCCACTCTGGTGGTATCACCCCCAGAACCACCTGTGATCAGCCTCGTAGTCCAAGCATTTGTCCTTTAAGTTGAAATCTCTGAAGATAAAAGGCTAGGACTCATAAATGGATGTAGCGGAAAATAAACTCTGGGGATCAGAGAACCTTAATTTGAGACCGCACCCCTTCACTGAAACCCACATGACTCTGGAGATCTTGAGTCTTCCAGCAGACAGACTACTTAATCTGTCTGAGTCTCAGTTTTCCTCCTTCCAATATACAAATTCATTCCTTCTTCTTCATTCAGTGGCTTAAGGAAATTGTCTGCAAAGGTGTTTCCAGCTACGTTCGGTACCGATGTGGGGTTACGGAGGTGGATGAGACGCAGACTGTGTCTTCAAACATCACAGTCTCCTCCAGGAGGAGACATTTCCGCCACTTGGGGCCGGCCAGCTGTCCATGACACTGGGCCACAGGGAACTGGGATACTGAGGCAGGAGGGATCTCTTAGAGGAGTCAGGATTTCGGGAGGCCTTGTGCAGGCCTCAGTACACCCCGAAGGCTGGCTCTGAGCCGTGACTTGGGGTGCTGGGTCTGAGTACGGCGGAGCTATAAAATAAAGGACTCTGGGCCAGGCATGGTGGCTCAAGTCTGTAATCCCAGCACTTTGGGAGGCCGAGGCGGGTGGATCACGAGGTCAAGAGATCGAGACCATCCTGGTCAACATGGTGAAACCCCGTCTCAACTAAAAATACAAAAAATTAGCTGAGCATGGTGGTGCGTGCCTGTAATCCCAGCTACTCAGGAGGCTGAGGCAGAATTGCCTGAACCCAGGAGGCGGAGGAACAGTGAGCCAAGATTGTGCCATTGCACTCCAGCCTGGGTAACAAGAGCGAAACTCCGTGTCAATAAATAAATAAATAAATAAAATAAAGGACTCTGAATGCTGAGCAGGACCAGGATAAACCCTACTGTATTCCCCTATCACAGAGTAGAAACTCCCTTAGCTAAACGTGAGGTAGAAACCCTTCACTGAAGAAGAGCTCATTCCCCAGGTCCCTCTATGGCCCTTTCTAAGCATTTGTGTCCCCATCTGTCTTTCTATTCCTGTAACCCCACATTACCCTTTCGCTCTTGTTTACGCCATGCAGAAGGTAGAGTTCAAAGAATTGCTTCTAGGAGTTCCCTAAGGGCCACACCCTAGCACTGAGAAAAGAAGAGCCATGGAGATCTGCTGGCCAGGCCATTACAGGCTGGGCAGGGGGTTTGTGAACCTTCCATCCCTCCATCAAGTAAATGGATTACTCCTCTTGTATCTGGAATATATAAAGAACTTTTATAGTCAATAAGAAGAAAAATATGCCAGATTTTTTTTTTGTTCTGTTTTGTTTTTTTTTTTTGAGATGTAGTCTTACTCTGTCCCCCAGGCTGGAGTGCAATGGCACGATCTCAGCTCATTGCAATCTCTGCCTCTTGGGTTCAAGCGATTCTCCTGCCTCAGCCTCCCAAGTAGCTGGGACTACAGGCACGCACCACCATGCCCCGCTAATGCAGGCACACACCACCATGCCCAGCTAATGTTTTGCATTTTAGTAGAGATGGGGTTTCAACATGTTGGCCAGGTTGGTCTCGATCTCCTGACCTCATGACCCGCCCACCTCTGCCTCCCAAACTGATTACAGGTGTGTGCCACTGCAACCAGCCCAAATATGCCAGTTTAATAATCAGCAAAATCTCTGAAGAGACATCTTTCCAGAGAAGACAGGCAAATGGCCAAGAGCACAAGTAAAAGGGCGCGACATCGGTAGTCATTAGGAAAATGCAAATCAAGACTCCAATCAGATACCACCTCACACACACGAGGATGGCTACAACCCAAAACATAGAAAATAAAAAGTGCTGGTGAGAAGATGAAGGAACTGGAACCCTCAGACATTGCTGATGAACATGGAAAATGGCACGGTTGCTTTAAACTGGAGGTTTCTTCAAAACTCAAGCACACATTTGCCGTATGAACCAGCCATTCCACTCTATTTCACTCAGGAGAAATAAAAATATATGTTCACACAAAGACTTGTGCACGAATGTCATAGCAGCACTGTTAGTAACAGTCAAAAAAATGGAAACAATCTAAACGTTCATTAACCAGTGAATGGCTAAGCAAAATATGGCATATGTGTTATAACGGAATATTATTCAACCATATAAAAGAATGAAATACTGATACAGGCTACAAAACAAGTGAATTTCAAAAACATTATGCTAAATGAAAGTTAGACAAGAAGATTGTATATTGTACGATTCCATTTATAAGATTTTGGGAGGCCAAGGCAGGAGAAATGCCTTAGCTCAGGAGTTTGAGACCAGCCTGGGCAACACGGCAAAACCCTGTCTCTACTAAAATACAAAAAATTAGACAGGTGTGCCCGTGTGCACTTGTAGTCCCAGCTACTTGGGAGGCTGAGGCAGGAGAATTGCTTGAACCTGGGAGGCAAGATGGCGCCACTGCCCTCTATCCTGGGCAGCAGAGCGAGAGACTCCATCTCAAAAAAAGAAAAAGAAAAAAGAAAGAAAGAACAAAAAGAAAAAAAAGAGAGAAATATCCAGAAAAGGGTCATCTATAGAGACAGAAAGTAGGTTAGGGGTTGCCTAGAACATTTAAAACGGGTCAATTTTATGGCATATAAAATTATAACTCAAAAAAGGTTTAAAAACAAACACATAAAAAAGGATTGTGCCTCTTAGTAAAGATACAGTTAAAAACCATTAAATCTGAGTAACTTTGGTGTTCTCACTTCCCAACAGTCAGAAGTGGTGGTGAAACTTACCCAGAGGTTGCTCCAAGTGGCCACACTCCCCACTCCTGGAACTAGTTGTAGGGGCCCAGGCAGGTGCGTGAATAAAACCTTGGGTCTCACTACTCTTTTTCCTCTGTGTAAGAATCACTGGGGGAGAGGTGAGCGTTCCTAAATGCAGGCTCCTGGGCTCCACTCTCAACAATACTGATGCAGTAGTTCTGCGTATTCCCAGGAATCCGCCTTTCTAAGAAGCACTCTTCAGAGTACACAGACCCACACTTTGAGAAATACCATAACAGAAGCGTGCAGGAATGCAACGGGGGCATGACGGGGGTATGCGGGAAGGGAAGCTCAAAACAGGCAGACATGCAACTGAGCCCTGGGAAGTAGAGAGGCTACCAAAGTGATGGTAGGAACCAAATTAAGTCTCAAAGATGAGAGGATGGTATTCAGAAGAAGAAAAATAAGTCAAGGCATCCCAGAGCCTATGCCTCACATATGCAAAGGCACGGAAGCATGAATGACGAGTAAATACTGATTGAACATTCATTATGCGCCAAGAGTATCTAACAAAGCATGAGAAACAAGGAATTGATGAGTAGTTAGAAGGGGTGGTAGAGAGGGCTGGGAGGGGAGCTGGGAATTTACTATGAAAGTGACAGCAGATTGAAGAAGATCTAAGGGAAGTTTAAGCAAGATTTGAGAAAAGATTAAATGGCTGGGGGTTTGGAGGGAAGGGGAGAAACTAGGGTGTCTTAGATGTTTTGCTTCAGGGAAGGTGGTGCCAATCAAAGCAGAGATAGGGAGTGGAGGTGGTCAGGGCAGAGGCGTTCGGAGTCAGAGCATCTGCATTTGAAGTGCCTACAGTTGGCAGTTACGAGTAGGGACCTAAAGCTCAGGGGACTTCTGGAAGTATGTTGTAAGTGTTACCTACCCAGTAATAACACATGCCTCAGGATTCTTGGGAGGATGAAAGGCGAGCATGAACTTTGCAACTGTAAAGTGATGCCATTTTTATAATTTCTCTCTGAATGGTCCACAGCACTCATCCCTACGATCTGTACCCAGTGAGTGCTCAATCCCTGAATTATCATGGCAAGTGTTCCACTTCTGTCTTCCAGACACACTGACAGTAACATCTCACACACTTATTTTTATTTTTAATTTTTTGAGACATGAGTCTCACTTTGACACCCAGGCTGGAGTGCAATGGCGTGATCTCGGCTCACAGCAACCTCCACTTCCTGGGTTCAAGTGATTCTGCTGCCCCAGCCTCACGAGTAGCTGGGACTACAGCCACCTGCCACGACACCCAGCTAATTTTTTGTGTTTTTAGTAGAGATGGGGTTTTGCCATGCTGGTCAGGTTGGTCTCGAACTCCTGACCTCAGGTGATCCACCCACCTCAGCCTCCCAAAGTGTTGGGATTATAGGCATGAGCCTCTGTACCCGGCCTCACACACCACAGTTCTCAAATCACACCACAGAATAAGCACACTGCAAAATCACCTCATACTGCAAGCCATTGGGTATCAAAAGCACCATGGACTAAAAGCATAAGAGAGGATATCATTTCATACGGTCCGTTACTTCTCATGACTAGAAATGTTTTACTTTATGAAATTCTGTCATTTCAGTTTGAAGGATGCCTTGTCTCTCTGGAACGATGAGTGCTAGGTCTGGTTTGTTTGACCCCCTCCAAATCTTATGTTGAAATCTGATCCCCAGGAAGGGTCCAATGGGAGGTGGGAGGTGTTTGGGTCCTGGGAGCAGACCCCTAATGACTGGCTTGGTGCCATTCTCACAATAGTGAGTTCTTGCTCTATTAGTTCCCAAGAGTGGTGGTAGTTAAAAAGAGGCTGGCATCCATTTGTGAGCTGTAGAGCGGCAAGAAAAAAAGAGCCTGGCACCTCTCCCTTCCTCCTGCCTCTTCTCTCGCCGTGTCATCTGCGTATTCCAGCTTTCCTTCAACCTCCATCACGAATGGAAGCAGCCTGAAGCCTTGACCAGAAACAGATGTTTCTTGTACAGCCTGCAGAACTGTGAGCCAAATAAACCTCTTAGCTTGATACATTTGTCTCGGGTATCCTTTATAGCAATACTAATGGACTTAGACAATGAGTAACAGGGTTTGTTG